CAGCAGGAAGTGACTTGTTTGATATTTTGGGTTTGGATCATAAGGAGAAAGGATGTGATGACGGTGGTTGGGGTGTTTCGAAGATCGACGGGCCAGAAACGAAAACTGAAATCCTTACAAAGGAATTTGCGGACCTTATGAACACTGCAGAAATGGATTCTGTGATTTATTCGGGATACGAGGTTTTGGGGACCGATCATCTCTTAGATGCCGTGGTCTCGGGTGCTCGCTCAGGTTCCAAGCAGATTTCAGATGACACCTCTGAATCATGTAAGAACACATTCAACAAAGTCAGTAACTCTTCCGTTAACACCACATCAAACAACAGCTACCATGTAGGGAATGTCGAGATCCCGAAGGCGGAAAAGAAACAAGAGATTCCGGGTTCATCAAGGTTCAGTAAGGATAATAGTTTGGGAAGTTGTTCTCAGACAACATCAACTTACGGATCTCAGATCAGTTCGTGGGTTGAACAAGCTCACAGCTTGAAGCGGGAGAGCAGTGTATCCACGGGATATTCCCGGATGAATAAGAATGAAAACCCGAAACCAGCAAACCGTAAAAGGCTTAAACCTGGAGAAAACCCTAGACCTCGGCCTAAGGATCGGCAGATGATCCAAGACCGTGTCAAGGAGTTGCGGGAAATCATACCCAATGGTGCGAAAGTAAGTTATATTCCTCTCTCGTTCATCAAGAATTGAATCATTCTCGGAAAGATTACTAACAAAAAGCCACCCGTGTTTCGATCTTTTTACAGTGCAGTATAGACGCCCTTCTTGAACGTACAATCAAACACATGCTGTTCTTGCAAAACGTTACGAAGCACGCCGATAAGCTGAAACAATCTGGAGAGTCCAAGGTATAAATGATGAACAAAAGCCTCATCTTTTTGTATCTTTCACTGATTCTTCTTCCTCGGTTCTACATGATCTAGTTCTTTGATTCGTTTTTTTTTTCATCGGGGCAGATGATGGAAGGAGGGTTCGGAGGAGGGGCGACGTGGGCATTCGAAGTCGGGTCACAGTCCTTGGTCTGTCCCATTGTTGTGGAGGATCTCAACTCGCCTCGCTGTTTCCAAGTCGAGGTAATGTCGCATTCGACTAACTTTCTACGCATTTTCGAGCTTAGAGTATGTTTCTAAGTACGTGTTTCTGTTGACCGAAAATGTACAGATGCTGTGCGAACAACGTGGATTCTTTCTGGAAATCGCCGATTGGATCAAAAGCTTAGGATTGACCATCTTGAAAGGTGTCATGGAAACTCGTAATGACAAGATCTGGGCACGCTTTGTCGTCGAGGTAAGATCCATCTTCCGTTCCTGGAAAGAATTTCCAAATCAAGAACTCGGCTTCCGAGGAGTTTATCACGATCCTTGCGATCGAAACTATCACGAAATCTTGGTCGATACGGATGTGGTTACGCTAAAAGAATGCGATTTCTTGTTCTTTTTTCCGTGTTCAGGCGAACCGGGATGTGACGAGGATGGAGATATTCATGCAGCTGGTGAACATTTTTGAGCAGACGATGAAATTTGTCGGACCGACGAACAACATGATGGACGGTATGAACGCTACAATGCCCATGACCGGTTTCCCTCAGACAGCCACAACCATTCCGGTAACCTGGGGATGC